TTTGCTTAGTGCTCTCAAAAAATTGGCATGAGCCATAGGCACACAACAAAAAAAAAAACCGCCCATGGCCATAGAATCTATAGTATGTTTTATGTTTTTTTGGTCCTAATTTATTGTCGACTCTTTGTCGCTTTCGTTCAGTTCTAACTACAGCTGTTAGTTGAATGAGCCCGAGCTAAGTTTGAGCCAAACTTGAAAGTTTGTTTCTTAATCGAACTTAAAAAATTGTTCAAGTTCGGCTCGTTTAGGAAATGAATCGAGCTTGAACGAGCCAAAAACAAGTCGAGCTCAAGTATTTACACATAAACGAGTCAAGTCTATCGAGTTTGAACCGAGCTTGTAGGGTTTGATTTTTAAACGAGTCTAAAAATTTGTTCAAGTTCGGGCTCATTTAAAAAACGAATCGAGCTTGAACAAGTCGAACTCGAGCCGAACTCAAGCCAAGCTCAAGTAGCTCAGTTTGATTGACAGCCCTAGTTCTAACCAGTTGAGTTGCTATAACTTGGTGAATGAGCATAGTTCTCAGGTCCATATTCAATATTAATTATGTTGATGGAAGATTTTGTTTGTTTCGTTTTCTTTATTTACAGGTGAATGCCAATACATTAGTGTTGCCACGTCCTGAATTTCACAAAAGCGTGTGTGTGTTAGGGTGTTGTTACTCGCATGAATTGGGATGTTAAGTTGTTGATTATTCAATATTTATTTTATAAAATTTGTAGGTTAATTTTAGTTTACTTTTTTTATAGTAAATGAAATTTTATTGAAATTGGTATTAATTATATTTTGTTTATAAAATTTACCATGTAGCCACCACCATTGTAACCTCGCAACCACAAAAAAATGAATGGCGTCACTGTTTTTGGCAATGTAAGTTGATTATTTATTATCTCTAAAAATTTCTTATTGATTTGTTTAATCACATATTTATTTGGAATTTTTTGTATTAATGTTGTTACAGATGAATTATGATATAGAAAATACCGTATGATAAGCTTCTTCTCACTCACTCAAGGCAGTTTTCATTCGATTGATCATACCAGCGACGATGAGAACACTTGGGCTGTACATCAAGACAAGTACCCGTACATGCTATTTCTTAGATGTAAGAATCCATTCTTGCTTTATTTTTTATCTTTTTTTCTCTACTGTATTTATTTGTGGTGATTAAGTTGTATTGGTTTACACATGTTTAATTTGTTGGTTTTAGTTGAAAATAACTCTACCAATACACTAATGGGGATTTTTTTTTAGCTACTGTAGGGGATTTATCCGCGCGTTCGGGATGTCCTCCCCCCACAGAAGGATTTCAGCTGACCTGCGCGCGTTCGGCAGTAGCCTTTACCTCTCTTCGCCAATAGGACCCTTTCCTAAGGCAATCCCACATCGGAAGAGAGTCGTCTTCCCCCCTCGCATATAAGCCCTTGCACTTAAAGGAGGAGGTACCCACTAGGCACCTGATCAGGTCGCTAGTGGGTACCTCCTCCTTTGAGTGCAAGGGCTTATATGCGAGGGGGGAAGACGACTCTCTTCCGATGTGGGATTGCCTTAGGAAAGGGTCCTATTGGCGAAGAGAGGTAAAGGCTACTGGGGGGTCGCCCGCGTGGGTTAACCCAGGTCAAGCCGAAATCCTGAGTGGAGGGTTCTACCCCTTACAAAAAGGCGCCTTTTTGTAAGGGGTAGAACCCTCCACTCAGGATTTCGGCTTGACCTGGGTTAACCCACGCGGGCGACCCCCCAGTAGCCTTTACCTCTCTTCGCCAATAGGACCCTTTCCTAAGGCAATCCCACATCGGAAGAGAGTCGTCTTCCTCCCTCGCATATAAGCCCTTGCACTCAAAGGAGGAGGTACCCACTAGGCACCTGATCAGGTCGCTAGTGGATTGCCTGGGTTAGTAATCTACTGCTTTTTTTTTGGATCCAATTTTAAGGATCCAGAATACCAACCACCATAATTCTCCACTTGGAATATTACCTACAAATACATCTANTCTCTTCGCCAATAGGACCCTTTCCTAAGCCAATCCCACATCGGAAGAGAGTCGTCTTCCCCCCTCGCATATAAGCCCTTGCACTTAAAGGAGGAGGTACCCACTAGGCACCTGATCAGGTCGCTAGTGGATTGCCTGGGTTAGTAATCTACTGCTTTTCTTTTGGATCCAATTTTAAGGATCCAGAATACCAACCACCATAATNTTTATCGAATTAATACAAAGTTTTACCAAATTAACATGAAATTGATATTCAATTTCATCAAATTAACTCTAAATTAGTATTTAATTTTATCAATTTAACTTCCAATTTATGAAATGGTCATTCAATTTTATAAAATTAACATTCAATTTTTTGAATTTAATATTTTTTTAATCAAATTAATATTATTTTTTAAAATCAACACCAAATTAACATTTTGTTTGATTCATTTTCTGACAGGAAACATTCTATTTAATCCAATTAACATTTAATTTAATTAAATTAATATTAAAAGAATTTTTGCTATTATTTTAAACTTATTTTATATGTCCAAGGGTAAATTTGGTAATTCACAAGAGAATAAATCACCATCTCACATTAGAGGTAGTTTGTCAAATGTGTATATAAACTATAGGGGTTTGGTGTGATATTTTAGAAATTAGAGGAGGTATCATTGAAATATGACAAATTTAGGGGCGTCACTGAAATTTACCCAAAATTCTTCTGTTCATTTCAAATTGTTCATATTTATTAGGGTTAATCTCATTTTGCACCTCGAAAGATTGTTCGAATCTCAATTTACACCTTCAAAGATCAAAAATCTCAATTTACACCCTCAAAGATAGAAATTTGTATCAATGTGCATCCCTAAAGATAAAAAATCTCAATTTGCACCTTCAAAGATAGAAATTTGTATCAATGTGCACCTAAAATTAAATTAATAAATTATACCTTGATCCCCTCATGTTTGTCACTTAATCATTTGAACTCCTTCATATTTAGAATATTACCCTTACATCTCATGACGTTTATGCATGTGTAACACATAACCACTTTTCGTTGATTTATATTAATATAATCGTTAAAAAATATGATTTTATCCTAATATAAAATTATAATTTTATATTAACTTTTATTTTGTAGATTTGATATACTTTAAAGTTGAAAATCAAGCTTACCATTTGAATGTCTAATAAAATGTAGATATTTATATAAAATGTAATATGTAAAATATTATATAAATATTTATATTTTATTAGACATTCAAATGGTAAACTAGATTTTGAACTTTATAGTATATTGAACCTATAAAATAAAGGGTAATATGAAATTATAATTTTTTATTAGGATAAAATTATATTTTTTAACGGTTATATTAATAGATATCAATGAAAATGAGTTACGTGTTATACGTGCACAAATGTCATAAGATGTAGGAGTAATATTCTAAATGTGAAGAGGTCTAAATGATTAACTGACAAATATGAGGGGATTTAGGTATAATTTATCAATTTAATTTTAGGTGCACATTGATACAAATTTCTATCTTTGAGGGTGCAAATTGAGATTTTTTATCTTTGGGGTACACATTGATATAAATTTCTATCTTTGAGGGTGCAAATTGAGATTTTTGATCTTTGGGGGTGCACATTGATACAAATTTCTATCTTTGAGGGTGTAAATTGAGATTTTTTTATCTTTAGGGTACACATTAATATAAATTTTTATCTTTGAGGGTGGAAATTGAGATGTTTGATCTTTGAGGGTGCACATTGATACAAATTTCTATCTTTGAGGGTAAAAATTGAGATTTTTGATATTTGAAGGTATAAATTGAGATTCGAACAATATTTCGGGGTGCAAAATGAGATTAACCCTATTTATTATCCAACCATCATTCCCAACGTCACTTCAATCCTCTCTCTCGCATTACGACACTCATGTCGGAGCCCAAGTGCCGACCGGTGGGACTGACCGAATACAGTTGGTGCAAAGCCGTCGCCGGCGGCACGGGCATAACTGTCTTCGCCTTCCTCATCTCAAAACCAATTGATTTATCACTCCTCCAAAACGCCATTCACCAACTCCAGAAGTCCCACCCAATCCTAAAGTCCAAACTCCGCCANAAAATATTATATAAATATTTATATTTTATTAGACATTCAAATGGTAAACTAGATTTTGAACTTTATAGTATATTGAACCTATAAAATAAAGGGTAATATGAAATTATAATTTTTTATTAGGATAAAATTATATTTTTTAACGGTTATATTAATAGATATCAATGAAAATGAGTTACGTGTTATACGTGCACAAATGTCATAAGATGTAGGAGTAATATTCTAAATGTGAAGAGGTCTAAATGATTAACTGACAAATATGAGGGGATTTAGGTATAATTTATCAATTTAATTTTAGGTGCACATTGATACAAATTTCTATCTTTGAGGGTGTAAATTGAGATTTTTTTATCTTTAGGGTACACATTAATATAAATTTTTATCTTTGAGGGTGGAAATTGAGATGTTTGATCTTTGAGGGTGCACATTGATACAAATTTCTATCTTTGAGGGTAGAAATTGAGATTTTTGATATTTAAAGGTATAAATTGAGATTCGAACAATCTTTCGGGGTGCAAAATGAGATTAACCCTATTTATTATCCAACCATCATTTCCAACGTCACTTCAATCCTCTCTCTCGCATTACGACACTCATGTCGGAGCCCAAGTGCCGACCGGTGGGACTGACCGAATACAGTTGGTGCAAAGCCGTCGCCGGCGGCACGGGCATAACTGTCTTCGCCTTCCTCATCTCAAAACCAATTGATTTATCACTCCTCCAAAACGCCATTCACCAACTCCAGAAGTCCCACCCAATCCTAAAGTCCAAACTCCGCCACAACAGCACTACCAACTCATTCTCCTACACCACACCCTCCACACCTCACTCCAGATCCAACTCTTCGATCTTCTATCAACATCTGACATCCTACAAGGACTAAGCAATCCTAACAACCCCTCCATGTCTCACTTCCACCTTATTCTTGAGCGTGAAATTAATACAAACACCTGGTGCGCTAACAACGATTCGTTGGACTCTCAAATTGACGTGTTCTTTGCGAGTGTGTACACTCTAAGTGATGACAGATGGGCTGTGATGCGCCGGCTTCAAACGTCGGCGTGTGACTGGACCTCGGCAGTTTCATTGCTGAGGGAGTTGTTGAGTCTGATAGGTGAGGGAAAGAAGGAAGAGTTGGAGTTACAAAGGGAAGTAGAGGAGGAAATGGAGGTTGGTTTGGGAATTGAGGATTATATTCCTCCTGGGAAAGCTAATAAACCATTTTGGGCTCGCGGAGTGGACATGCTTGGGTACTCTTTGAATTCTTTGAGGTTGGCAAACTTGAATTTCAAGGGCATTGACGCCCAGATCATCACAAGTAGTGAAGCTACAGCTGAATTCGGATGATACTGATCGAATTCTTTTGGTAAGTGGGATTTCTTTGTCCTTGGTAAATTTCTTCAACCAAGTCATTACACCAACAATTCTTGACACAATGTTTAACTCATATGAAATCGACGTGAAATTACCTGATATGGATCACAATGGGGTTGATCTCAGTCAACATTATAAAAAAAAGAAGTAATGATATGAATCTGGTTATAGACGACACTAATCCTATTATATACAAACCTAACATGACCCATCGAGAATTCTATCTGGTCACAAGTTAGAAATGCTACTGTCAATTACAAACTTGTTNTATGAAATCGACGCGAAATTACCTCATATGGATCACAATGGGGTTGATCTCAGTCAACATTATAAAAAAAAGAAGTAATAATATGAATCTGGTTATAGACGACACCAATCCTATTGTACACAAACCTAACATGACCCATCTAGAATGCTATCTGGTCACAAGTTAGAAATGCTACTATCAATTACAAACTTGTGCAAACCAATTTTCTAAGACATTTTAGAGGTAATACTTGTCAAAACCATGAAATTTTTGTGTTGATTGCCTAACTGTTATCTGTTTCCTAGAGTGAATTTGTTCCTGTTTGCCTCATTGGTAAGGTGACTATATTTCTAGATCTGGTCCAATACAGAATTTCTTCAATTTCATTAATGGGTAATCAATAATTGAAACTTTGGGAAAATTCAGTTGTATAATGGATTCTAACCTTCATCGATGCTATGGAGCATCTTCCCTTGCTGCACTACATTCAAATAATAACTACCTCCAATTCAAATCGTACTTCTATGGTTCTACCTAGTGGTTTAATTTGAAGTTATATGACATTAGAGAAGTTGGAATTCATCTCATTAGCTTTCTGGTATAACAGTGATAGCAAGTAGTTTAAAATCCAAAATTTAGAGACCTGGGAAAGAAAACAAAATTATGAAGTTGACCCACCTTTAGTTGGCACTTGGCAGAGAAGTAATCTCTCATTGTCACTGTTTGTCCTGATTCATTGACCTTTTATATGCATGTAGGGATAAGCTTCCTTAGTTTGCTTTGTCTTTTCCGTCACAATTAGATGCACCCAAGCAAAATTCCATGGGATGGGACCAGTACACATATGGACCATAGACATAGGATCACAATGAATTATTTCCGGGTAAATCATACAGGTTTCACTATCTTTTCTGTTTGATCTTTCTTAATCTTCTAAGGTGGGAGGGAGGGATTGAGTTGTCTTCAATATTAACCAGTTTCGAGAGATCATATTATTCTAACTCTGTGATTTGACGGAGTTGTATTTAAAATATGGAAATATGCATTTAAGTCCTTGTGTTGATGAACTAGTCATTTAGTCACAACTCACAAGGGTGAGAGAGGAGCCTGAAAATACAAAAGAATTTTTCTTAGTTGCTACTCAACTTGCACAATCTCTCACTGCATGAATATAGTCTCTTGAAAAAGTTGATGAAAAACTATTTTTTACCTCCAAAAAGAAAATAAACTATCAATTTTCAAGAAGATATCCGGTCATTTTGACTCATTATATTTAGCCAAGCAGTTGATGTTAGATGTTTGCTTTTAGTTTTAATTGAAAGACTGATAGTTGTACTTCAGCCATAGCTCAAACGAAATCAACTACATATTTTCTGAGCATGGGAAGAGCAAATCTGAGGTGAAACTTGACCAAATCACAAGGAGATAAAATGCAGGTTTGTCAAGCATTATGTACATATGTACAATGCATGCATACATAGATAGGTGTATATAATAATGTCTGGAAGATTGAGAATTATAAATTAACTAGTTAGTGGGGATTGTGATTTGATGCTTTAATTGCCATTATCTTCTATTGTTGAGAGTCTTAGATTGGTGTAAATTTTACAGGGCTGCAAACCAGGGGGATCAAGTTATGCGGGCTCTTGGCAGCTGCCGGATTGATTGCAGCTCATTCCAGTAATTGTCTTCCTGACCAATGGCAGAAGTATGCAGTCGTAACACTCACTGATTGTCGTTCCATGCTTCATCCTGTTCTTAGTTGCCGCAATTTTGGTAAGTCTTCAAATGTTCCACATCTCAAATAGCACATTATTAATTAATTAGTTTTACTAAGTAGATTGCTTGTCAGTTTCCTAATTAGAGTTTGTTTCACTCAATAATAATATGCATGTGTTTATACTGTGAGTTGGTGTGGGAGTTATATCTATGGCATGAGGTCCTATGAAATAGATCGTCTAAAATTTGGAGATTTGTTCTTCTTCTTCTTCCCTTATTGACTCCTCTCAATTTCAAACTTTGTAAATATTTGTTGTCACACAGAATTGATGTACTCAACATGATGTCCCTAAATGATGCAGGNTCCTCTCAATTTCAAACTTTGTAAATATTTGTTGTCACACAGAATTGATGTACTCAACATGATGTCCCTAAATGATGCAGGGTTTTACCATTCTGCTATCGTGAATACACATGACATAGAAGAAGGGGAAAACCTTTGGGAGCTGGCAAAGAGAACCTACATGTCATTTGCAAATGCTAAAAATAATCAGAAGCATTTCTGGGACATGAATGACCTTAACTTTCTCATGGTCAAGGCCATTGATAACCCTGGATTAACACGGTCGTCATCATTAAGAACTTCACTCATATCGGTGTTTGAAGACCCAGTGATTGACCATTCCGATGAATTGCATCAAGAGATTGGATTGGAGGACTACATAGGGTGTGCTTCTGTTCATAATGTAGGCCCATCAATCGCTATATTTGACACGATACGAGATGGGGAATTAGATTGTGCATGTGTATATCCATCACCACTACATTCGAGGGAACAGATGCTAGAGCTGATTGATGACATGAAGAGAATTCTTGTAAATGGCAGTAACTATGTGGAGAGTGACAGCTAGTTTTTCTTAATGAGATTCTAGTGATGACACTGTAGGTTGGTTTCAACATCTGTTTCTCTCTCTCTATATGATCAATTGTTCCAAACTGATCAAAATCTGCATTGAAGTGTATACATTTAATGTTCCAGTACATGAACTCATGGCACTAATTGATATAGATTATGGTAGGGAAGAAGAAGGGGATGAGAAAAGAGAGAATTTGAGGAAGAAGTAATATTAGGATTCAATATTAGTAATCAATAATAATCAAAATTTAATCTAAATAAAATCATTACAAGCATCCTTTTATAGAGGGAAACTAAAATCTTAAAATAAATAAATAAATAAGAACAAATAAACCTTCAAAAGTTAAAAGAAATTACTTAAAAGATAAATACTAAAATTATCTAAATTATTCTCAGGATTAATTTAAAATATCTATTCAATTCCTATACGATCTCCATCATTATCCTCCGGTTGAGAAAAATTTTCCTTCGGAGAGTCTTAAAAGTAGAAGTATTTTAAAAGAGTTAGATGAAGATGACATAATGCCTCATCTAAAATGAAAAAATCATTAACTTCTTTCCATCGATTAGGATAAATGCAATAATTTCTATTTGTATGAACACCTGCTAATAAAATAGGAGGGATTGGAGTACCTTGATTAAGTAGCATGTCCTCCAAATAAAAATATGGACTAATACTAACATTCAATAAAAAATTAACCAAATAAGCATTAGATCCAAACTCGAGAATAGTAAAACAATTCTCATTAGGTTTCAATAAAAAGTATTCAATGGGACAAGACATTGATGACAAAGGAGTAACAATAACACCTTAGTGGTGAAAATAATTAAGTACCAATTCAAGTGAAATCTTGATAGTAGGAATAAAGTCAACTATTTCAGAGGAAAAGACTTGGGAACAAAGGTAGATTGACTAGAAATAGGAGACCCAAATCATTCACCAAAAGATTCTGAAATAGGTAACTCAATATGCTCGACATCTTTCACAAGTGTGGACTCGACAGACTTTTTAGCAAGTTCCATTACAAGTGGTGACTCAACGTTTGACTCCGGCAAAGACTCAAACTCACTTTCTTCAGGTGTTGACTTTTGTTGGTATGAAGGAGGTGAACTCTGATCTGATGAAATTAGACAAGGGGATTGGTAATCGACATGAGTAACATCTTTTTTTGTATATGAGAATGTGTTATCAAAAATCCCGGGTCACCCTAGAATTAGGAAAACATGTAGAAACAACATGGACATCATTCAAGTAATCATAATACTCATATGTGGTGGAATTAAAATTGAAAGGTGTCCTGTCACGTTGTTTAACTGATTGAGAACCCATCAAGTTATAGTTGGATTTCTTATGAAATCTCTCAATCTTTATAACATATTAATAGACCGCAACTAATGTATCGAAAATGGATGGCTTGACCTCCCCACTAATGTTTGGTCTCAACGCAAGAATAAACTGATCAATTGTTCAAGGTTCTTCAACAATGTCACACAAGTACATAAGATAATCGAACTGAGCAAAGTAATCAGAGACACTAGAAGAATGTTGTCTAAGATTGAGCCATTGGTCAT